GACAGCAGCGGCTCACACACTCCTACACCACCACACACACACACACACACACACACACACACACACGAGATCTGATCAGAGTCTGCTGAACCAGTGACAGAGCAAACCAGGCGTGATTCATGAGTCTACTGAGCCGTTCAGTTCATCCATCAGGCGATTCATCTGAACATGTGTTCATCATCACAGCTGCTCATAATCACTGCCATACACACTACACAAACACACACTCATCAACAACACACACACACACCAGAAGCTGAATCAACAGCTGAATCAACACGAATGAACTGAACCATGACTCATGACTCACCAGATGAAGATCAAACACCTGCTGAAAGAATCAGGATCTCCAGATGACACACACACACACACACACACACACACACACACACACTCACACACACACACGCGCTGATCAATACCACAGTGAGAGTGACTCAGTATAACAGCATGTGTGTGTAATGCAGAGGAGTACAGTAGAGTTATGATCACTGACATTAATATAGTTTAATCAGCCAAATGACCTCTGCTGTCCAGACAATACTGTCAACACACACTCAGAAAACAACAGCATTTACTGTACAATATATTGATTTAATATTGACACACACTCATAATAATATGCCAGAGTTAGGGTTATGTGTTTTATTTCTGACCAACTGTGTCTCGACTGCAAAAATGGGATGTGTTCACTACAGGTCTGAAGTAAAACAGCCTTCTCTAACTCAATGTACAGCAAACTAAGCATTACACTGAGAGACTGATTGTAACAGTATTGTAACAGAATAAACGGCTTCAGTTTGTATGCAGCTTCTGTCAGTCGTGTGCTGTTTATTCTATAGTTTACAGTGAAACAGAAAGAGGTTTTGGGTCTGAATTTAAATTAGTGCATAAAAGTGTTATCACTGATTTCCACATGCCAATGATGATGAGTATAACAACAGAACAATAAAAAGAGAATCTTAAAAACTTCCAGTTCACCATGCAAATTACAATCAACATCAATCAGAGATGCATCTGAAATATTTTACAGTTATTAAATAAATTTACTGTAAATAAAAGGCACCAATTTCAATTAATTAATAATAATAATGAAACAATATTATTTAATGTTCTGGAATGTTCAAAGAAACATCTGTCTCTCCCTCTCTCTCTCCCTCTCTCTCTCCCTCTCTCTCTCCCTCTCTCTCTCTCTCTCTCTGTGTGTGTGGAACACAAAGGCATTCCATCATCAGCATACGTTTCCCATAAGCCCCTCATTAGCGTTTATAATTGCAGAGGCGGCATGCAAATACTCCTGTTTAGCATGTGAATGAGGGACCAATCAGCCGTCCTCTTATAAAATCAGCAGAGTTCAGTGCTTCTACAGCATTCAGGAGATGTAAAGGTCTCCTGAAGAGCTCTGATATCTGCCTTTTAATTCAGTGTTAGACAAACTCAACTGGAACATGAAGAGAGGGCGGGGCATAGAGTAGCCCCTCCTCTTTATAAAAGCAGCCAATAGCGCTGTGTTTTACTTACAGCTTTGCCAGTGAGAGTGGTTGAGCTCAAGCGAATCAAATGAACAGCCAATGAGAAGAAGGGGGCAGGGCATGTCAGATGCTAGAGAGCATCTGATTGGTCAGAAGATTTGATGAGAAGTATGAGGTGCTGACAGCGTCTGACTCCGCCCACCACTCAGCAGGTGCTGCATCTGAATGTGCGGTTTCAGACGCAGCCCATGTCTCCTTAAGCAAACACACCTGATTCAGATCATCAGCAGAGACTGACAGACCTGTAATGTGTGTGACAGACAGAGAAGACGTCCAAAACATGCAGAGCTGGTGCTCCTTAAGAGCATGGTTGAGAAACACAGCTCTAAATGCACATTTTGTCCTATTCTTGAAGCACACTAGATTGTAGACATCTTTAAAACTAGACTAACATCTAAATAACTGTTGTAATTTCACTTTACTGATTAATCAACAGACGCGGGTGAACAGAGCTCAGCTGCTTTACTGTAGATACTGTACACAGACAGATGCAGAGATACTAATGCACTAGTACATGACTGCACATATGAAGCGGTGCTGAAGGGGTTAAAGACTCTCCTCTAGTGTTTCTCCTCCTCAAGGACTCTCCTCTCCTCTCCTCTCGTCTTCTTTCACTGCTGTTGTTTTCCAGATGATGGAGAGTAAATGTTTACACAGCGCTTGATTCTGCCTCAACTCTGAATTCATGAACATGCTCTCTCTCACGGGTGCATGAACACACACACACACACACACACACACACACACACACACACACACACACACACACACACACACACAGTTGGCAGAGTGTTAAAGAAGCGCTCCTCGTTAGCATGCAGAGGGACAGATCATGTACAGCTCTCACAGCAGCACACACTCATCTCAGCGCATTATAGAGTTACACCACACACACACACACACACTACACGCTAGAAGATTTACATCTCATACTTTACACACTAAACATCAGTCATCAAAACTCACAAGATCAGATGTCACAATTTATTAGTTATAAAAAACTGTGAAAATAGTGTGAGTGAATAAAACATTTCTGCTGTATTTCAGTTTTTATTTGGTTTAAATCCTCTATGAAGTTATTGTATTTTTTTGTTTTAAAATTATTTCATTAAAACTACATTTATTTTAAAATGTTTTAAACTTGATTTTAATCTTATGTACCCATTTCTTTTCAGCTCAATAGTTTTAGGGTTTTACATTTTCTGTATTAATTTAAACTTTTCGATTACTGTTTTACATTTATATTAATTTAAATAAGTTTGTGTTATTTTTTTATTATAACTAACTAAACCAACATTTCTATTAAATGACTAATTTAACTTATTTCCATTTTTCAAGTGACCTTTTCTTTTTTTATGATTATTTTAATTTTATTTTATTTTTAACTATTTAAACTAAATAATTTTTTTAATGCATTGAACTTATTTTTATTTCAAGTAACCATTTCTTTTCAGCTCGATAGTTTATATTTCTGGCATTTTACTTTTTCTTTTTACATTTAGATTACTTTTACATGCACATAAAGTTTATTTTAGTTTTAGTTTTAAAGTATTACTAAGTAGTAATTAAATCAACATTTTATAAATTTCGATTTTTTTAAGCAACATTTTCTTGTCAGCCTAATTTGAATATATCTGCTTGATTTCTCTATATATTTGTTGATAAATCCTCACTGTATATCTCCAGTAATGCTGCTTCCTCCACTGAATGTCTCCTGACTGAAGAAAGCTGCTATATTTGCTCTGAATAAGCTGATTTTCCTCGAGCGAGGGCTGAATAATCCTTCATTCTCATCAGATCACTCAGCTTTCATATGCTGATTATGACCGCTCATTTGCATATGCAAATATCTCCAGCCAAACTCCGCAAACACAGCTACTGCTGAAGAGTTACAGTGATCAGCAGAGCTCGCGTCTGATTGGCCGGAATCACCAAGGCTGAAATTATATATGCGAGCGGCGCTGATCAATCATTGGCCGGCGGTGTCGTATCCATGGCGATGCATGTTCTCCAGAAATCCGCATCCTGCTTAGTGTTGTTGACCTTTTCAATAAAGTAAAGGGAAACAAGACGGAGCCGCGTCCTGAATGAGGGAATGAAAACTGAACACAACCGGCTCACACCAACACTAAACTACACAACACAACTACTCTGATCCAACACATGACCTGTAACCCTTCAGTCTGCATACGGCTACTCCAGCTCTGTGTGGACGGCACTGAACACTCAACACTTCATATTACCCAATGCACACCATGCTGTAAGTCAGTGTTTCTCAACCACGTTCCTGGAGGACCATCGGCTCTGCACATGTCCTTAACCAAACACACCTGATTCAGATCATCAGCTCAATAGCAGAGACTGACAGACCTGTAATGTGTGTGACAGACAGAGGAGACGTCCAAAACATGCAGTGCTGGTGCTCCTCCAGGAGCGTGGTTGAGAAACACTACTGTATGTGATCAGCCAAGTCAGTACAATAAACTGATGTGAATGGATGTACAGCACACATGATCGTGCTCAGCTGATCAGTGTTGATGATGTTTGTCATTCGGTGAACATGTTCACTCATTCATTTTCTTTTCAGCTGAGTCCCTTTATTCATCAGGGGTCACCACAGCGGAATAAACCACCAATTATTCCACTATATGTTTTACACAGCGGATACCCTTCCAGCTGCAACCCAGTACTGGGAAACACCCATACACACTTATTCTCACACACACACACACACACACACACACACACACACTGGCCAGTGTAGTTGTTCAGTTCCCCAATAGCGCATGTGTTTGGACTGTGGGGGAAACTGGAGCACCCGGAGGAAACCCACGCCAACATGCAAACTCCACACAGAAACACCAACTGACCCAGCCGAGACTCAAACCAGAGACCTGAGTGCTGTGAGGTCACAGTGCTAACCATTGAGCCACCGTGCCGCCACTGAACATATTCATATTTAGCAATAAAACGCAGCCTAAAATATTTGAGATATGAAAAGACACATATATTTTTTTCCTGGAAGCATGCAGTATATACAGGCCCTAAAGTGAGCTATATGGGTCAAACTGGTTTAAATGTTGTCATCTCTGAATAAATAACAGTGGTATATTTGTAAAACAATAAGATTATTGAATAAATGATGTGCATTTGATGCTTCATTCAGTTTAATTTCTTAACAGAAAGCAGTGCATTGTATATAAAAATGTTTGTGTACAAGAAGACGACACACAAATACTGAAGAACACAACACTGCACACTCAGAACCCACTGCACACATCAAGATAACAATAATAATAATGATCACAAAATGTTAAA